TCAAAACCGCTTGAATCGGAAATATCTCAAAACAATAAAAAATGCAACAATGGTTCTCGCTTGAATTTTATTTGCTGTTTAACGCTCCGTCAAAGGAAAAAACCCCGCAATCTTAAATGTTTCACGGTTTCTGAATGACACCCACAAACATGGGGCACTCTCAAATCAATATTTGGGGGTCTTAAAATAGAAAATCTCGGATTTTCAGATTTGTTTTTCTGTTTGCGTCTTAAAAGCTACCTATGTGCTAAATATCAACTTTCTACCTTGTCGGGAAGTATCCTGGAGGTTTTTGAGGCATACAGGTTAAGGTTTTTTATTTTTAGATATAAAATTTCCTCTTTGTTAAACGTGTTACGTTGTCATTGTTGGCTATGCTTGTGCACCACTTGAAGCAACAGCACCACAAACAACCAGGGACCGTTATTAATGTATTGTGTAAAGTTTATAAAGTAATACGTTGCATTTAGGAAGACACGACACTTATCTCGTTCAATAGATTATAATCATCCACGACCCGCACGCACGGCGTGGGGAAGCCGCCATCTAGCAGTGGATTATTGACGAGGCCCTGTGCGTGTAACACTTTAACAAACAAAATCCCCCTGTGGGGTGATATCGTCTCGTCTGAGGAATTCCTCTCCCGGCCGCGGTTAAATCACCGATCCACTCGTGTTGACATTGCTGCTGTGAGACTCTGTGATCATTTTTTTCCAGACGGACACGCGGATTATACGGATCGTATTTTCAATATGGGGCGTGGGGGGTGGGGGGGGGTGGCGCATTGGTCAGCGCGCTACGCTATGAACCCCGGTTATCCGAGTTCAGTTCCCGGCCACGGATAACATCAGCGGCGAGTGATAACCGAACCGGTCTACTCATCCCCCCCCCACCCACCGCCCCCCTTATCCCCCCACTTCCATCAACTAGCGTGGTGAAGTATGGTCAAACATTCCACTCATGATTTACACAACGTGGAGAGGCGTTCACCCGGCAGTGGATTCATAAAGGTTTAGACAAGTCTGTAAGTAGCCAAATAGATTAATAATGTCAGCTTGATATATCTCCACATTAATATAGATATTTCTTACACATCTCATCAGCTCAATTTCAACAGGATTGATTTAGGACAAGCAAAAACTCCGGATCGGTTTGGACGCACAGAGAGTGAGGCTCGCTTGAATCAATGCTGATGAACCTTCAGATGTCATAGGCAAGGATTGGTTTCGATATTCAGTGTCTCATCAGCAGAGTCAGGGTTTGCTTGAATCAATGCTGGCGAACTGCCAGATGTTATAGGCAAGTTGGACAATGCTCTCCCGTGGGTTGTTCGGCACGATGTCCGACGTTTCGCTCCATGAGCTGGAAGCTTCTTGAGGCTAGTGTTGTTAGACAGGCCCCGTAAGGACTGTAAGGACAGCACGGTTGGTTTTTGGTTGGCCGACGTTCCGAACCGCATTTTAAATGTTGTTTAAACGTGTGTGTGTGTACAAAGTATGTGTGATTGTGCCCTTATGTGTAACTCTTGTGTGTGTATCTGTTTGTTGTGTATGTGTGAATGTCTGTTTGTGATTGTGTTTGTGTGTCTGTCTTTGTGTGTGGGGCTTCGTGTGCATGTCTGTGGTTATATCTTTGTGCGTCTCTGTGTTTATGTTTGTGTGTGTGTATATCTGTGCCTCTGTCTCGCCGGGTTCGAAGCGCAGCGCGCTAACCGTGTACAGTGGTGGCCTTCTTTGGTGCTCGCCAACAGCACTTGCCCCAAAAGTCTGTTGAGGCTACACGGGGGATCCTTGTCTTTGTTGTCTTCACTCGTCTCCTTATTAATCCTTTTTGTTCCCCCCCCCTTCTCCTCCCCACTCATCCCTGCCCCTCCCCACTCATCCCCACTAATCACCGCTCCTCCCAAATTCTCTCCACTCCTCCAAATTGATTCCTGATCATCCCAGCGCCTCCCATCTCTTCCCACTCACCCCCTTTCGCCTCCTGGCTCCTCTTAGCCACCAACACTCCCCTCCACACATTCCCCCAGCAACTCCCGGGCTACTCCCCACCACTCTCCCCACGCCACCCCACCCCTCCCCACTCCTCCTCACCCCTTCCCCACTCCCTCCTCACTCCACTGACCCCCCCGCCCCCCAGACTGCTCTGAAATCCTTCCCACTCCACCCACTCAACCCTGCTCCCCTCCGCTCCCCATCGCCGTGTGTAAACAATCGTAATAATATCAAATTATCAATCGCGAGCGTCATTAATTAAAGAGCCGAACCCCGCGGTATCTGGATCTAATGACCACTAATGACTCATTAGCAGGTGCGATCACGTGACTCACGTCTCATCCTGAAGCGGCCCAAAATCACGTGACACTCTCCTCGACGTGATCACGTGACACTCTCCTCGACGTGATCACGTGACACTCTCCTCGACGCCGCTGGTCCGAGGGTCTGGATGGTGTCGGTTTGACGACCAGGAGGGTGGGAGGGGGTGGGGGCTAGGTGGAGGGGGTGGGGGCTAGGTGGTGGGGGTGAGGGCTAGGTGGTGGGGGTGGGGCGAGGTGGAAGGGGTGGGGGCTAGGTGGAAGGGGTGGGGGCTAGGTGGTGGGGGCTAGGTGGAAGGGGTGGGGGCTAGGTGGTGGGGGCTAGGTGGAAGGGGTGGGGGCTAGGTGGAAGTGGTGGGGGCTAGGTGGAAGTGGTGGGGGCTAGGTGGAAGTGGTGGGGGCTAGGTGGAAGGGGTGGGGGCTAGGTGGTGGGGGTGGGGGCTAGGTGGTGGGGGTGGGGCTAGGTGGAAGGGGTGGGGGCTAGGTGGAAGGGGTGGGGGCTAGGTGGAAGGGGTGGGGGCTAGGTGGTGAGGGTGGGGCTAGGTGGAAGGGGTGGGGGCTAGGTGGAAGGGGTGGGGGCTAGGTGGAAGGGGTGGGGGCTAGGTGGAAGGGGTGGGGGCTAGGTGGTGGGGGCTAGGTGGAGGGGGTGGGGGCTAGGTGGTGGGGGTGGTGGGGGTGGGGCTAGGTGGAAGGGGTGGGGGCTAGGTGGAAGGGGTGGGGGCTAGGTGGAGGGGGTGGGGGCTAGGTGGAAGAGGTGGGGGCTAGGTGGTGAGCGTGGGGGCTAGGTGGAGGGGGTGGAGGGGGTGGGGGCTAGGTGGTGGCGGGGGAACGGCGGGGGGAGGGGGGGGCTGAGGGATAGTTGGTGGGGGGCGGAAGAGTCCGAGTCGGATCATGTGTGAGAGAAGTGTGAGAGAGTGAAGGAATCGGGGTGCGTGGATGAGAATTTATGTCTTTCGAGATGTCTGTGTTAGCACCTTGTACCAGCAGGGTTGGGAGCAACTTGGAGTGTATGGGGAGGTCTCATGGGGGGGGGGGGGTCTATGTGTGCGATGGGGATAGGAGAGGCGGGGTTGTGTTTCCAGATATCTCAAACCACGATGATGTCTCTGTGCTTGTGCGTCTTGCGGGGAGCGGTAGTGTAGCGGTTCGTGCGCTGCGCTACAAACCCGGCGACCCGAGTTCGATTCACGCTCACGGCCAACATCTTTGACGATTATCTGAACCGTTCCTGGGCCTCCCCTCGGTCGACTCTGCCTCAAATGACTACCTGGTGCGGTGTGCAAACGTCACCCCTAAGGAGACAAAGGCGGCCGGGCGTGGTGTTGGCCACCTACTCCCTCGTGTGCCGTACCGGCCTTCTTAGGCGCTCGCTAACAGCACTTGCCCCAACAGTCTGCCCATGCTATAAATAGGATCTTTGCCTTTGTGTGAATAGTTAAAGTGATTTCCTGCTCAAGTGAGCATTGAGGCATTGGTGGTTATGTCCTGAGTATAACCCAGCAAAGGCCAGTGGTGGAAATTCCACATTCCTATGGAAGGGACGATTGTCTATGTAAAATAACCTTTCCCGCCAAGTGGCAACTCACTTTATCGACTTCGGAGGAATAATCGGCTAAGTCAACCCCCAAACCAGGATTTGAACTCTGAGCCTACCAACTGTGACCTGCTTGCTCTGTCCCGGGTGCTCGCTAACAGCCCTTGCCCCCCTGTAGCCTATGCAGGCAACACGGGGGGGTCTTTGTCTTAGTTGGTTGGTATGTCAAGCTACTACTGTAGCATATCTATTGGACCTTTTCTATTGTTGCCATGATCAAAGTATGAATAGTACTGGCAAAAAATACTGGCACAAAAATACTGGCAACAAAAGTTATCCCATAGACACCACTGCTCAACACGAACTCTAAATGCTCCGATACGTGCATTGTCTTTGTCCTGTTGACTTTTGGCGTTATTCTCTGGTCTGACACTGGTGGTGAGACAAGGCCACAAAGAAAGCCTCCTCTCTGTGGTGTCGACCAATAAGTGTCAAAGACAATGAACACGTCATTATTATTATCAGAGAACATGTTTGCATGTTTATTGTGTGCCACAAGTACTGTTTGTGTGGCGCGCTTAATGCAGACTTGCTGCCTTGCAAAAGCAATCTATTTTGGCACCTCCTGCCTCATTGCCAGAAAGGGTTTAAGCCTCTCCGCATACTCCACCCGCTCACTCTCCCATCAACCTCGACACGAACCCACGGCCGCTGCTGACCCCCTTGAACCGCAGCGGGAGGAAAGAAGGCCGCGTTTTCTCTCCATGCCCGTGGACGTTCACGTCACATCTGGAAACGCGCGTTTAGATTATTTTGGCTGCTGTACATTGTCGCAACGACGAGCCGCATTGTTGAGCTGTCCTTTGTGGCCAGGTCGCTTCTGAAAGAAAATAAGCTCATAGCTCAGTGGGCTTAACCGTGGTAAGAAAAAAAAACGATTGTTTAGACTTATTTGTATACATTTTTAAGTGATTTGTTTTCCTTTCTCTTATTTTTTCACGCCAATGGTGTTTTTGCATTCTCTGTTTTTGTACGGTTCTCACCCGCCCCTTCTGAACACCTGTGAAAAAGAGCTTTATAGCTTACCGGATTCCACCTGTATAAATACAGATTCTGATCTGTCTCCCCTCACGCCCCGTCTCTCTCTAACAGCTTCAACCTCTACCCCACTCTCATTCCACCCAACCGCTACATCTCCCCCGTGACCCCAGCTCCCCCGCGGCTCCCCGTTCCCACGTTCCAATACCCCCGTCGCCTCAACAGGAACTCTGCAGCAACTGCTGCAGCATTAGCAGCAGCAGCACGTAGGGACGAAGAGGAGGTGATATAAACTCTTCGGCTCGCCACCAGTCAGACCCGTGCGCCAGTGGAAACGTACTGGACCGTGCCAGGCCGAACCGGGACTGGTCCGGACCGGCTCTGGACCGGGTCTGGGCCGGGCCAGGCAGCATGATGGTGTCCTACCTCAAGCAGGGCCCTTACGCCATGAGCGGCCTCGGGCTGCACCCTGGAGGTGGCATGGAGCTGCTGCATCCCTCCGTGGGGTTCCCCGGTGAGCGACAGACCCCCCCCCCCCCCACTATCTAGTTCCACCACCCTCACCACCCCACACCATCCCCACCCCTCACCCACTCACCACCCTGACCTTACCCTGTCCACCCTCACCCGCTCAACACTCCACACCCCATCCCACCACCCTCACTTCCCACTCGCCACCACCCTCACCCACTCACCATCACCCTCACTTCCCACTCACCACCACCCTCACCCACTCACCACCTCTCTCCCTCCAGCTTCCCTCACCACCACGAGTGCCGTAGCGAGGGTGGGGGTGGGCGGGTTGATTGGCCGCCCGGGGCACCCCATCCGGAGGGGGGGGGGCGGTGTGCTGCCCCCCCCCCCGTCTCCCCCCTTCCCCCTCTCATAGTTGTAAACAATGGAGGGCTGGTCGATGAGAAATGTGGTGGGGCGGTGGTGAGGATGGCGCCTTGCCTAGAGCCCCCCCCACCTCCTCTCGCTCGTACCCCTCCCCCTCAGCCCCCACTTACACTCCCCCCTCGCCCCTCAACCCTCCTCACTGCCCACGTGACGCCAATCATCCCCCCCCCACGTCTCCCTGTCCCCCCAATCCCCACCCCTGGCTCCCACCTCCCCTCTCCCCTAATCCCTCCATGCCGGTAACCAGCACGAGTATCAGTTAGCCTGTTTACCTTGGCTCTCCTTACCGATCAGCCACCACCACTACTCACTTGTAGCCTCACCTCACATGGCCTCACCTCCACTCACCTGGCCTCACCTCCACTCACCTGGCCTCACCTCTACTCACATGCAGCCTCGCTTCACCTGGTCCCACCTCCACTCACCTGGCCTCACCTCTGTTCACTTGTAGCCTCACCTTACCTGACCTCCATTCACATGGCCTCACACGAACCTGGTCTTTCCTCACCTCACCTAGCCTCGCATTCACTCACCCTGTAGCCTCACCTGGCCACACCTCTATTCACTCACCCTGTAGCCTCACCTGGCCACACCTCTATTCACTCACCCTGTAGCCTCACCTGGCCTCGCATTCACTCACCCTGTAGCCTCACCTGGCCACACCTCTATTCACTCACCCTGTAGCCTCACCTGGCCTCGCATTCACTCACCCTGTAGCCTCACCTGGCCACACCTCTATTCACTCACCCTGTAGCCTCACCTGGCCACACCTCTATTCACTCACCCTGTAGCCTCACCTGGCCTCGCATTCACTCACCCTGTAGCCTCACCTGGCCACACCTCTATTCACTCACCCTGTAGCCTCACCTGGCCTCGCATTCACTCACCCTGTAGCCTCACCTGGCCTCGCATTCACTCACCCTGTAGCCTCACCTGGCCACACCTCTATTCACTCACCCTGTAGCCTCACCTGGCCTCGCATTTACTCACCCTGTAGCCTCACCTGGCCACACCTCTATTCACTCACCCTGTAGCCTCACCTGGCCTCACCTCTATTCACCTGTAGCATTACCTCACCTGGGTTGGTGAAGGCGTGGGGGGGGTGGCAGAGACGGGTGGCAGCACAGAAGTACAACCCTGAATTGTGTTGCACCACACTGTTGGCCTCCACATCGGGCCTCATCTTACCTGGGCTCCGACTCACCTGTATCCCCTACTCTCCTGGGCTGCACTCACCTGAATTCCATACTCATCTGGGCTCTGTCTCACCTGTATCCCCTACTCACCTGGGCTCCGACTCACCTGTATCCCCTACTCACCTGGGCTCCGACTCACCTGGATCCTCTTCTCACCTGGGCTGCACTCACCTGAATCCTCGACTCACCTGGGCTGCACCAACCTGAATCCTCAACTCACCTGGGCTGCGCTCACCTCCACTCACCCTGGACACGAGCACGAATGATACAAACTCTGCGCAATCGCCAATCTCACTGCCCCCCCTCCCGCAAGATAAACAAACAATGAGCTCCACTACACCTCACCCTCACCGCAATGCCCTTCACTCACCTGTGCCTTCACTCTCTGCCTCACCCGAACGCAGTTCACACGGGGCCCAGCCGTTTAACCCCCCCCCCCCCTTCCTCCCACCCTCACCCCAAACCCTCACCCCAACCCCCACCCCTCACCCCAACCCCCACCTCGCGCCTCTCTCCCCTTATCTCGCTGGCTCACGTGAGCCCGCATGCACGGCTTTGTGAAAAAATGAGCTGCAGAAGGGAGGAGAGCGAGAGAGTAGGTGGGGGAAGATGGTGGAGAGGCAAGAACGAGAGTGAGTGTGTGTGTGAGCCCGAGAGAGATGGGGCGAGAGAGAATGAGAGAGAGATAGGGTTGCGTAAGAGATGAGAGAGAGAACAGAGTGGGGGTGGGGGGGGGTGGAAATAACTGGAAGAGAAGGGAAAGAGAAGAATGAGAGATAAAGAGGTAGAGAGACGGGAGGGAGATGAGAGGAGAGAGAGAGAGAGCTCGGGCGTGTTAGGGGATGAGGTGGCAGAGAGGGACGTGGGGGGGGAGAGACTTTAAACAACTTTTATTGCCGCCAGCAGCAACAGCACTGGAGGCGATTCCGATATGAAATACACGGCCACCAGAAAACAAATAAACGCTATAAATCCACGCGGTGTGGCGCTAAATGCGCCGGGCACAACACAAAAGAAAAGTCACGTGGTGGTGGTGGTGGTGGTGGTCATCGCGCACGCCGCGGTGATGAGCGAGCGCTTCAGAAGGTGAACACGAGGGGTGCCGTCCACGCTGGTACAGAGAGGGGCTTGTCCGGCCCCCCAGCGTTCGAAGAAGGCGCGCACATCGGAGAAGGACGATTTGGGAGAGAGGAGAGACATGGAGGTGAAGATGAAAGAGAGTGATGGAGAAGGGGAGAAAAGAGAGATGGAGGGAGAGGTAGGGATGGAGAAGGGGAGGAAAGAGAGATGGTAGGGGGATATTTAGGGATGGAGAAGGGGAGGAATGAGAGATGGAGGGAGAGGTAGGGATGGAGAAGGGGAGGAATGAGAGATGGAGGGAGAGGTAGGGATGGAGAAGGGGAGGAAAGAGAGATGGAGGAAGAGGTAGGGATGGAGAAGGGGAGGAAAGAGAGATGGTAGAGGGATATTTAGGGATGGAGAAGGGGAGGAAAGAGAGATGGAGGGAGAGGTAGGGATGGAGAAGGGGAGGAAAGAGAGATGGTAGAGGGATATTTAGGGATGGAGAAGGGGAGGAAAGAGAGATGGAGGGAGAGGTAGGGATGGCGAAGGGGAGCCAGGAGAGTTGAGGTGACATGTTGAGAAGGGGCACCTGTTAATGTCGCGCCGCATGTCCCTCTGCAGTGAATCCGTGACTTCTCTCTGTCCCAGTGAATGTCTCTTCTCTCCTGCATCTCTCTGTCTACCTCTCCACCCGCCCCCGCCCTCCCCCTGTCTCTATATTTGTTCATCTCTCTGCCTGCGTCTGTCTGAATGTCTACGTCTGTCTGTCTCTCCGTCTATATCTGTCCATCTCGTCTGCCTGCCTTGTGTCCATTCGTTTTGTCTCTCTGCCCGCCCGCCAGTCTCTCCCCTATCACTCTCTGGCAGTCCGTCTCTCTGCCTGTGTCTGGATGTCTACATACCACCACCCCCCCCCCCCCCCCTCCAATACGTTCATCATATCCAGGGGGTCGACAATCAAACTGACGAGAAGATACATTTATTTTTCGAATCCGGTCGGTCAAGAAAATTCAATATCTCAAGAACCACAATGCACGTGGTGAATAACTGTCACGGAGCAGTCCTTCAAGAGCCACACGTGGAACTGGAGCCGCAGGCTACCGACCAATGTCCATGTCTGGCTGTCCGCCCGTCCTCCGTTCTGCCCTCTCTCACTCACGTTTCTATCTGGTCACTTGTCGCTCAGTCTGTCTCACTGTCCCTCTCTTTTACTCTGTGTGTGTCTGTCCCTCTGTCTCAAAGTCTCTCCGCTGATTTGTTTTATTCGTCTGTCTGCTTTTTTGCATATTTGACAATGTCTCTCTGTATATCTGTGTTTGTGTATCTATGTGCTGCTGTTTCTCTTCATGTCTCTCTGACTCGATCTCTCTGTGTCTCAATCTGTCTCTGTCTGTGGCCTCTGATTGCCTCTCTATGTCCCTGTGTCTCTATCTGTGACCTCTGTCTCTGTGACCTCTGTCTCTCTGTGTCTCTATCTGTGACCTCTGTCTCTCTGTGTCTCTATCTGTGACCTCTGTCTCTCTGTGTCTCTATCTGTGACCTCTGTCTCTCTGTGTCTCTATCTGTGACCTGTCTCTCTGTGTCTCTATCTGTGACCTATGTCTCTCTGTGTCTCTATCTGTGACCTCTGTCTCTCTGTGTCTCTATCTGTGACCTCTGTCTCTCTGTGTCTCTATCTGTGACCTTTGTCTCTCTGTGTCTCTATCTGTGACCTCTGTCTCTCTATCAGTGACCTCTGACTGTCCGTGTCTCTCTATCAGTGACCCCTGACTGTCCGTGTCTCCGCGTCCCCTGTCTCACCCTCTCTCCGCGCGTGCCTCTCTGCCCCCCAGGAGCGCCACGCAAGCAGCGTCGCGAGCGCACGACGTTCACGCGAGCGCAGCTCGACATCCTCGAGTCGCTCTTCTCCAAGACGCGCTACCCCGACATCTTCATGCGCGAGGAGGTGGCGCTCAACATCAACCTGCCCGAGTCGCGCGTGCAGGTGCGGGCAGCCGGGCGGGGCAGGGAGTGGGCACGGGGGGATTAGCAGGAGGTGGGGGGCAGAAAGTGTGGTGGGGGGTGGGGGGGCAGGAAGTGGGGGAGGAGCATGAAGGGGGGGGGCGGGAAGTGTGGTGGGGGGGCAGGAATTGGGAGGGGGGGGGCAGGAATTGGAGGGGGCAGGAACCGGGGGGAGGGGAGCCACGGGGGGCGTTGTCCACCTGGTCGGGCAGAAACTCCGGAGCAACATTTGGGGGAACGAATGAGGGATAGAATCTGTGTTGGAGGTAGAGAGGATGGCCAACTTGGGAGTTAATTTTATCACTCCCCTCCCCTCTCCCCTCTCCTCCCCCCTCTCCGCCCCCCGCCCTCTATTTCCACCGGCATCCCCACAACCTCACGACCCCCCCCCCCCAACCCCTCTGCACCGTCGACTCCGCCCCAGGTGTGGTTCAAGAACCGTCGCGCCAAATGCCGCCAGCAACTACAGCAGCAGCAGCAGCAGGGGGGAGGAGGGGGTGGGGGAGGAGGAGGGAGCTCCCAAGCCAAGCCCCGCCCACCTAAGAAGAAGATGTCTCCAATGCGCGAGGCGTCGGGTGATGCTCCTCCCCTCTTCCCTTCCTCCTCAGCTGCAGGCAGCGTGGCTCCCGTGAGCGGAGGAGGAGGTGCGTTGTCTGCACTGTGTGCGTACGATGTGTACTGTCTGTGTGTACTCTGTGGGTGTACTGTACTGTGTGTGTACTTTCTATGCTTCTTGGCAGGCAGTTGTCTCCTCGTGCGGTGCATTGTGGGTTGTGCGACTGTGACGTCTACCCCACGCGATTTCGCTTTGTGCGCCATTTTTTTTAAACGCATCTTCTACTACTATCGCATAGAGCGAGGGAAACCTGTATAACGCATACAGCCATCTACCCAACGTCACACGTCCCCCCTCTGTCTCTCTCTGTTGTCACCGCCCCAGGCTCCTCGTCCTCTGCCGCTGCACCCACCGCGACCCCCTGCACCTCCGCGGCTAGCACACCCTGCTCCAGCTCCGGCTCCATCTGGAGCCCCGCCTCTGCATCTCCCCCCTCCATGGAGCCCGCGCCTTGCCCCAACCCCCCTGCTCATCATCATCATCAGCAGCAGCAGCATCATCAGCAGCAGCAGCATCATCAGCAGCAACAGGGCGCTTCCCCAAGCTCGACTACGTCTGGGCAGAGGCTGCCCGCTTACGCAACCTCATTCACTCATCTGCAAAACGCGGCTCATTACATGGGGTGCTCGGCTGGTTCCACGTACGGATCTGGTGGTGGTGGTGGTGCGTATTTTGGTGGTGGTGGTGGTGGCGGTGTGGTGGACCCGTGTGCTGTCGCCATACACGGCCTCTCCGGCGCCTCTCTCAGCCCGCTTATCCAACAACAAAGTCACCATCACCAACATCATCAGCAACATCAGCAGCAGCATCAGCAACATCAGCAGCAGCAGAATCACAGTAATGGCAGCGGCAGCATCAACCTTCAGCAACACCAGCAAGTGTTGACTCACCACCAGAGCCATCACCATCAACAGCATCAGCATAATCAGCAACATCATCATCAGCAGCAGCATCAAGGGCAGCACCTGCAGACTTTGAGCCCCCTTTGTCAGTCCCCTTCTGCGCTGGGGTTGGGGTCCCCAGGATTCCCGGGCGCTGCTTTTGGGGGTCCTGACCCCTATCTGGGTGACTATAAGGACCCCTCAACTTGGAAACTGGGGTTCGGTGCCCCAGACCCCTACCTGAGTGACTACAAGGAGCAACAGGGACTCACCACGTGGAAGTTCCACGTGCTCTGACGATGAGACGGGCGCGCTGGACATCGCGTGGGGGGGGGGGGGTTGGTGGATCGGGCAGATAATTATCATCTTCGTCCGTCCTGCGCGCCGAGACTACCGTTTTGATGGGGCCACGAGATAGTGAAGACCAAGGTCGAGAAGTCAGCGTGGCCAAAGCCGTCGGTGCCACCACCGCCGCCGCCACACCTCCTCACTCACCACCCAACGCGTCCATCCCCTCCGCCAGTTCCAACGGCTCCTCTTCACGGTCGACACACGGCTAGCTCCCGTCACCCGCCCAGACCGTCAACCCACCGCAATCTGTCCTCCCAGGTCTTCTCCTCCCCCCTTGGTTTGCGGGACTCATGGGAGTGGCCCATCTCAGTGGTCGGCTCCCCGGCTCCATCCCAGACACAAACACACTTGTGCCGTCCAGTGGAACCGTTTTTTCAAATGTTTAGTTTATTCTTCCAAAAAAATCGTATGTGAGACACCTACCTGCCACGTTCTATTCTGGAATTCAGCATTTTCAATTCCTAGCACCCGTCTCGGACGCCCGTGCTCAAACGCAAGCAGTATATACATGAGATTGTTGAATCTATCTGTGCGGAGTGCAGAGTCTTCCCCCGCCACTCGTATAACATGCATGGTGGAGTTTCTCCGGCTCTGCGGTTTCCTTCCCAGGAAGCAAAGAGACTCGGTATTTAAAAATGGAATTGGCCAAACAAGAGGTCTTGAGTCTCGGTGAGGCTTTGCCGTGTCAAGTACAATTATGACGCGCGCTGCGTATGGGTTTAGATTTGTTACCTGTCTACAGTTCATGATCATCGCCTGTGGCATGATAGGTGGACGAACTTGACCCCGGGCAACCTGTAGGTCGACTCGGCCCAAAATTTGTACAGCAGTACCTTGTGCCGCGGCGGGTGCGGTTGCCGAAACTTCGGCGACACTGGAAATACAAGGACGGTCGGGCGTGCTTGCAAAATGTGGTGCTGACCCGATAACACACCACCCATCGTGATATATATTGTTAGCAGTACCGACCTTAATAGGTGCTCGCTAACAGCACTTGTCAACAGTATTATTTTTTAAAACATCTCGACTGTGAGTTTGGTCGCTTCTAAGGGTACACATTGTGAGTCTGTTCGTGAGTCCTACACTTCAATGTAAACATATTCAGTAAGTAGTGCGATGCACTAACCTTTACCATACACGGTACATAATTACATTACTCACTTGCCAACCCTATGGATTTTAAGGGGTAAGCTGCCGATTTTTTCATCCTTTTACCACGTTGCCAGATGCTGCCACGGTGGGATATTGGCCCACACAGCAGACTTGCAATCCACAGAAAGGGCTCAGATTCAATTATATCTCCCGGCGCGGCAACTGAAACAATGGGGGCGAGTTTCTTAAATCTCCTCGCCCCCCCCCACTTCCCCCAGCCCCCCTCATCTGCACAGCAGTAGAAATGGGTTGTGTGTACGTACGTAGAACTTCTTTCGCAACGTACGTAGCCAACCGTGCTAATCCGCGGTGTGTGGGGGGGGGGGGGTACGACAACAAACGATCATCGACTCGCAGCGGTCAACCCACTGAACCATTGTTAGTGGTGAACCCCACTGAACCCATTGTTAATGGTGAACCCCACTGAACCCATTGTTAGTGGTGAACCCCACTGAACCCATTGTTAGTGGTGAACCCCACTGTTCGTCGATGATCATAGTTGTCCTTCCCCGGCACCTCCACCGCACAGGTCGTGCGTGGTGGGGTAAAGTGTGGGTACTCCTCCAACCTCTTCTTCCAAGACGCACTGGCCCACGTGGGGAAGAGTAGGCCAAATAGTCTGTCCAGAGCGCCCCCTCGTGGTAATCCCTTCCGCCAGCAGTGGAGAGAGCAAGGCGTTGGCAGGGCTGAAACTTTACCTCTTACCGCAGGCCAATGTTGCTGAAGCTAACTCGCAACCGTTTCATTTGTCCAAATGTTTGAAAAATCATTTTTAGTTTGACAGGAAGGGAAAACATGGGGTTACAAATGGGCAGACGAACCGCTTACACCTGTACGGTTGGCAAGTTGGTATGATGAACATAGTCATGATAATAATAATATAATAGTCTGTGTATAATAATTAATTGTGTTCACGCTACAGTGGAGCCAGATTATATATATGTGTGTGTGTACGCTGTATGCGACGCGGTTTGTACAATACGTCTATAGACTATCGATATAAGACAAACGCCAACATTAAGTTGAGCGCCAAGTCTTAAACATTCCGATTGTTATTGTTAAAGATTATTATTGTTATTTATTTATTCTCGGGTTAGACGATGCCTCCTCCGTCCGTCGTCACGAAACAATCTACCGGCGTCACCATCGATTAATGGGTCACTTGACATCGATTCATTGTCTCGCCGAGCGAGCGACACGCGCTCGCGTCGACTCAAGGGGGGCCCCACCCCCACCCCGTCCGTATTCTGGGGTCACGGCCTCGGCACTGGCACGGCTCGGGCTCAACGGAGCCACCACAGCTCAAAGCCACGCGCTTGGCTTGAGCCGTTGTGCCGGCCTTGAGTTCCAAGACTCTAAGCAGCACCCCTCCCCCCCCCCCCCCCCCCACCATGTGCCCTTCCCTATGTCTCTCTGCATGGTACCAGACGCATAGCTGTTACACCATTCGATTTAACGCGTATTCTTGTACAGGGAAATTGGGTTTTAGGTCCATACGGCGTACAGCCGTTTCGATACAGGCACATTTTTTTGCGTCTCTTTGTGTTTCTCCCTTGTGATGATGGGACTTTGTAGGATGAACGTTGAGATTTATACGGGGCACGGGGTGACGAATAAGGTCTAAATTGGTCTGTAAATAAGGTAGGGCACTGATGAGGGGTTGACACCTATGCACACATGCCCAGCATTTCCCATGAGCGGAGCCGAGCCCCCTATCTCTGTTTATCGACACGTGGGTTGCTGCTGCTGTGGCATGTAATTGGTTGGTGTGATCCCCCCCCCCCCCCTGCAGCCACTAGATGCCGCTACATGCACAGCAGTGTTGGTTCAAGATGATTTATTCAAGATTCGAATCTTCCCCGGGTATTTTGCGGATTATAACACAAGATGCTGCGGAGAAGAGTTAAGACGCACACCAGCCCCAGATAAAAAAAATAACATGTTTAAAAGTGCTTCCCATTGTGAATCCCATTGTGAATCCCATTGGGTGGTTACGCTAAGTCGGCATGGGCTGCTCTGGTGGCCTGGATCGGGGGGAGGTTCATAACGGCCGCATCGGCACCACCGATCCCAGCGCGGATGACATCGTCTTAACCTAATTTTACTGAACCCGTTTAGCCATTACGCGCTATACGCGCCGAATGATTGCTAAGCTCGCACGTATTCCCTGACGTGATGGGTGCTAATACATTTCATTCGTTTCTGGTCGTATGTATGCGTGGTGAACTTCTTTCGCACCGTACGTAGCCAACCGTGCTAGTCGGAGTTGCCAAGTGTGCTCATCGTGACGCCGGGCCGGTCGTGGCAAAAGCACGTGGCCTGTACTGCAGGCACTGAGAAGGCAGTAGCGAGGGTTGGTGGATGGCACTAGGCCTCGGCAAGGTAAGGTCATTTACCTTTTTAACCGGGTAAAAGGGTAAAGGTGTCGACATGCCAAGGGGTAAGGTAAAGGGTAGGGTAAAGGTAGCTCGAAAGAATTATCCGGTAGGGTAAAGGTAGCGCGAAGTATTAACCCGGTAAATACGGTACACCTTGTTTACCGCTAAAAGCTCCGTGGCGCAGTCCGTTGCGCAGTCCGTGGCCTCTATTTAATAAGTAATATTTTAAAGTAATGGCAGAACTCCACGACTCCAGGAAGTGGCCCCGAATCTCGCCACAACGCAAGGGGACCGTGGGCAATTACAGCCAACGTCAGTTGACCGTGAACAATTAGACCCAAGCCGAAACATAACATGTAAACAATAATGTTTTAAAATATATATTTTTATGATAGAATATAGTATTGTCATCAGTATGACATAAGTATACCAAGTTTGCAGTCGATACCACATTGGGAAGTGGGTTAAAATTGAGTTACAAGATTTGAGGATACAACAACAGAGTGAGTTTTAAGAAAGCGTGTAAAATTGGAATAATCGAGAGTATTCTACATGAATAAAGCGCTCTACCTAGCATTTACATGTTATAAACCTTTTTCATGTGTAGTACCCCAGTAATTACCCTGTAATTGGGTAATTTGTATGGGGTAAGGGTAAAAGGTAGGGTAAAGGTAGCCTCGTTGCTTTTTACCTGTTACCTTCTACCTTTTACCTTGCCGAGGCCTAGATGGCACCCACACAACAACAACAATTCTCACGACGTGAAACTCCCCTTCCCGTGGGCGTCCACGCGGTGCCCGTACCCTGGGCTCGCCGGGTGAAGGCGGTTCAGTAAAAAAAACTAATGCGGAATCTGCCTGTTCCATCTGTATGGGGATATACAGGGTGCTTCAACATTTTTGTTTTAACACTTATATGTGACTATCGTTTTTAATGGAAAAAGAACGTGATAACAAATGTATGTTAATAGCTTCAAAAACTCAGAGTCTCCACAGTCTCCACTTGTTCGCCATCATCGTCAACACATGCCAGGAATCTTCCCAAGGTGGCCTCCAGGAAGCACATTTCTCGTGGTATTGTTGCAAAATTCTCAGAAGCGTTACAAACATTTTCGCAGCACCCCCTTGCAGTGTTGCTCCCCTTGCACGCGCGTGGGGTTTCTCCCGGGTGCTCCTTCATACATGGAGGACCGCAGAGCTCGGGAAATTTGTTGGATGCGCGCCGGAGCCTCGCCGCGTGGCTGCTGCTGCTGTCTTTCGATCGTCTTCGGTTCCTCCTCTGGCGTCTCTGAGTGGTCCTCTCTCTCTCTCTAGAGAGAGAGAGCGAATATGGTGCGACCTCGGCGGCGGCGCGTTACGTGCCGACGTTGCGATTTAGTTTGCAGCTCCCTCGCTTGTGCCATTAATTAACTCGTCTCCCGTGTTGTCGTGGGAACGCCTCGGTCATTAAACACTCGCTCGCAGCTGTTGGCGATTCCCTCGAGAGAGGCGTTGATTTGATTGAGTGATTAATTTGTTCGCTAAATAAATAACGCCTGCTTCCCCCACATTTGTCTTTCCACAATTAAAACAAAAACAAACCATTCTGTTTAAACAATCCCATCGAACGCACGGGCCTTCTGGGACGTGCGTCTTTATCAGCAGCGGTGGTTCAACGCAAGGAACACTCTGGACAGGTAAACTCTTTGAGTCTTCCGGTAAAGTCACGTAGGTATAAAATAAAATAAAATCACGACGTTTCGGGCGAAACACAAGCGTCCGTCATCAGGTGGGAAATCAAGATTTCTCTGGACAGGTTTTCGGCATTCGGTGTCTCATCAGCAGCGTCAGACTTTGCATTAACCAATGTTGGTGAGCTGCCAGGTGTTTATAGGCATATACCCTCTCTCGTCCTAGGCCCAGAGGTAAAACTCGACAGTACTCAGCACAAGATCATCATTAATGTCCAATGTCGACACTTTAAAACAGCTCATTTTTAGACTAAATTAGTGTGTGGGGGGGGGGGGGGTGATGTGATCAAATTTCGTCATCTGATTGGTTAATTGGTGCTTCGTTAATTGGCGAGGTCTCCTCATCTGCGAATCCGGGAGGAGCCCCCGACCACACGAGACGGGAGTCGACCCGGGTGAGTTGCTGCGTTTAGCTGCTTAAGCGCGCTAACATCGCAAGTTAACCTCAATGTAATGTTTAACAAAAAACAAGCATCGTTTGTGTAGTCACAGTGGCGGCCAAAGGACAGAATGTGAACCCCGCAATGGATTAAATCTTCTCGTGTGGATTGTTGTATCAAACAAGACCGCGAGATAAGGCGCCGGCGTGGGCAGACTATCATCCAGTAGCAGTGGATAGATCATGGCTGACGAGGAAGGGATGATTCCACGGCGAATTCGGTGAAGTTTCAGGATACATTTCCAGGGGGCGATGATTAACTATGCGGATTGACTCTCCAACACACCGGTGTGCTGAAATCTTGACTTATAAAGCTTTGGTGACCTCAGGAATTCATACTCTTTGGGTCTTTCGGTAAAGCCACGTAGATAGAAGAAAAATAATAAATCACGACGTTTCGATCGCAACACAACCAAATCGTCTTCAGGTTAAAAAATACAGCAGGCGGACTGTGCTGAGGCAGGAAAAAATATAGCGAGAGAGCTACCGCAGCCAAAGGTGATATAGGTTTGAGATGGGTACAACCCAAGGGTAAGTGGACGGGGCTAGAGATGTAATTTGCAAGTGTGTACTGAAGTTATAACTAATTGACACGTTTTGTTTAAGTGACAACCCTTAATTGGCTGTGTCGAGCGGTGGAGTTAACGACACTTTTTTATTTACGCGATCTTATGCACCCCCTCCCCTCCTCCTTTATTATGGATACTTATAATTGGTCGCGAAAGCCTTCAGACTACAACGTGGTTAACTTCCTGAAGTGTGCTGCCACCTGGCGGCCACACTGAGAACCCCCCTCCCCGCCACCACCACCAGCATAGTTGGGGATGTACCTGGGCAGTGGGTTTGTTGTCATGGTTCCAAGTGCACTTGTAACCAGGTGAGAACTCAAGAGGCCCAGGATGGTCTCCATTTGAGAGTGACCTGGTGCAACATCTGCGACGAGGCAGGCGATGATTACTGTGTACGACAGCAAGTCCTCGTTTAACGCGGTAGATGCGTTCCTGAAAAATGCCGAAAGATTGTTGATAAACTTTGGCGAGATACGATGTACTACTACTATGCTACACACAGTGAAGTGGCGGGACAGGTACGCCACTGCGTTATTGTATCATTACGCGTATTGTGATCACTCCTCTCAGCCACGCGACTCGTCTTCGACCGCTCGGAAACCACGTTATAACGGGGCGCGTTCCACTTTCGGCAAAAAATATATTCCCGAATGGAAGAACCGCGTTTGCAGCGAAAATGCGTTGTGTGAACACGCGTTAAGCGACGACTTGTACGTATAATGGCAATTTAGTCATTTAGGTGGACAGATGTAGTGATGTTGCTCGTAGTCAGTCAACACGTGGTTATTGACCACGTTGTGGACAAGAGGGAGTGGAAGCAACACAAACATTCTTAAAATCCCAGAAAACCAACAGCACCAGTTTCAGAATACAAACTTATATTTATTTAAGTATGCTTGTCGGTTATACAATACAATGTGTGCAATGGTCTGCCCCTTCCATCGGCCCACTTTCTTTGCCCTGAAATTGCCGTTTCTTTCCATACGTTAATACAAAGGTGCATAGCTGGTGCCAGTCTGTTACGTGCAAGTGCGGTTTTGTATTCGCTACTTGTACACGTGTTCAGTGACAAGTTGTTTATTTGCCCGCAATGTGGGAGTGGTGACGGAGCGGTTATCACTTAGCGCACTGCGCCACCAGCCTCGCGACCAACGTTCGATTCCCGGACATAGATAATTTTGCGTGCGACTGCCATCTGAACCGGTCCTGTGCCTCACCCCTCCTCTTTGACGAACTTGCAATGACCAGCGTGAAGTATGTTCAAGTATGATCGTTTGGTTTTTGTAACTGCATGATTACGTTGGCGCACCTGTGTGTACGCCTCAGTTTGCTAAGATATCTCATCCTAAGAATTATTAAACCGACGGAATATACATTGGCATTGACGTGAATAAATGCAGAAGCAGCAGCAAGTACAAATACTGTGGTCACTATCGGCAGGTCCCCCGCGCAGGGCGTCAAGTGCTGCAGTGAAGTGGTAGTGATGCACACGTGCGTGTGATCCAGCGCTTTGGAGGCGGCGAGGGTTGACGGATCGGCGGGCCCACGAGCGAGGTGTCCAGTGCTGCGGCAGTACAGCAAGTGGGTTCGCAAGCCCGCCTGCGGATACCCTCGAACGTCACCACCCCCCCACCCCACGTTGTGTCGTGGGACTTCTCTGGGAGCTCCGGTTTCCTCCCAGACGAAGCACACATTTAAAAATTATATGCGTGAGAACCCCACAAGCAGGCAGCACAGCAAGTAGTTCAGATTATTACCTATGCAGCTGAGATTTAAGTATCTCATGGGGTTTCTCTGGGCACTGTAAGCATCTTCCAAAAACACAAGACACGAATTTGGCCAAACATCCCTAAATAGCAGGATCCTCCTGAAAACGAGTGTTGAGGCTCAGCGAGGGCTTTCCTGGGTAAACAAATGAATATTATTCTCGAGTTCCCAACAGCAGTACACTTTGAGAACCCAGCCCTAATCGGACAGCTACATGAGTAACTAAGATATAGTATCATACATGAGGGATAAGATATTATAAATGTAGTTACGTACAGGTACACGTGTGTGTGTGTATAATTGGGTGATCTGACCTCCGATCCCTAGGAACAGGTTAGCTGAGCATTTCTGAGGTCTTCGGGGAAGGGAATCCCTCGGCCCAGAAATCATAGGGCAAAGTGGGAATGATCCTGCTGAGACTGCGGTGCTTCAAATATTGTAAGTAGTCACCCCTGCGAGTGAGATTCCATCTGTTGAGGAAGTATGGAAGGCGATCCAAAGTCCGAGACCAGGAAAAGTGCCAGGCAAAGATGATCTCCCAAGCAAACTAAGGGTGGCGTTTGTGTGCAGCCTGCCCTATATGACATCATAAATCTGGACGACTGAACGGGTCCTGCAGGATTGGAAGGATGCCCTGGTGGTCCCTATCTTTAAGGGGGGCCGTGCAGACTGTAATAACTGCAGGGGCATCTCCCTCCTCTGTGCCAGGAAAGGTGCTGGCAAGGATTTTTCAACACCGCCTTGCCAGACACACTGAGGAGAGGCTTGCGGAGTGCCAAATGTGCTTCATTGGACCTTCTTTGCCAGTGTCAAAATATAAGAATGGGTTTTCCCCTTTTTTCTGGCAAAACAGGTGTAAAGACGTTAAAACACCAAAATGAAACCTTTTGCAAGGAATCATGTCTGCATTAACCACGGATACTTGTGGTGAAAATACAAAAAAAGGGGAAAACCTATTCTTATATTGACATCTGGTACAGATACAATGGGAGGCTGATCGATGTCCGGGTGCCGTCGAGGGATGGCTCCCTATTGGTCAACCATGTCATGTATGCTCACGATCTGCTGATTGCTGCTCGCTCAGAGTTGGCGGCAGTGCTCCTTGACTGGAAGCGTGCTAAGAGGTGGGGCCTTACCATCAGCCCCTCAAAAACTTAAGCACCTGCCTGGTATTGTCATCAAACACTCCACCCCAACTCCCTGTTGGTGACGGGGCAGTTGTGGAGATGTTTCCATACCTGGGTAGTGTGCTTGTCTAGTTCCAGTTTGACAGCAGAGGTCTCATTCCGAATCGGTCGAGCCGCATCGTTTCATCGGCTGGATAACACGGTGTGGAAGCTACCTGGTCTGTCGGTCCACATGAATCCGGTCTTTTCAGCCAATCGTGCCCTCCCTTCTCTATCCTTTGTGAAAAGTGGACCCCCCTAATGGAACACCGTCACCAGTTAGAAACGATCCATCCTGGGTTTAACCAGGCTGGATTGTGAGGGGAGCTCACAAATCCTTGAGAGATCTGGACAAAGTATCATGGGTGAGCTCCTCCGGCAGGCAAGGCTGTGTGAGCTGGGTCATGTCGCCCACGTTCCCAGCCACTGCATGCCCAAACAGCTTTTTTTCAGCTGGATAGAGGGGACTAAACAGGCGCGGCACGGGCTAGAGACATGATGGAATGTGGTACGAGAGGATATGGAGCTGAGTGGACTTGCTAATGACTGGTGCCAGCAGTATCCAGATCAACCTCTGTGAAGGAGGCTCGTGAAGGACACAACTGGGCAGTTGGAAGCAATCGCCCTCCATTGGCAATGGAGGGCAGAGGAGTGATGCTCGCAACAAGCGAAAACACCAGGCGGCTAAAACAGGGGGCACAGGTGGTGCATCTGCCAGTCATCTCAGTCAGTCGACCCATGGCACCTGGGTCTGTCCCGTGACCTGCCAGCAGCTGTTCGACATTTCACGTGGTCCTAAAGTGCACATAGCCTGGCACAAGCGCCGTGGTGACGTCACCGCCACTTAGTGGCAAATGGCGGTTGTTGGGCAAAGAAGCAGCCCTGCAATGTATTTCTCACGCCACTGCTGGCAAAAGGGCCTCCACTAGAGGTAGCTCTGGCGAGCCCCGTGATGAGGATATTTTGGCCTACTCTTCCACGTACGTTTCGGAAGAGGTGGGTGTACCCACACTTTACCCCATGCGCGTGTGTACATGTGTTTGTGTATAATATGTGTGTATATATATGTGTGATCGGGTCTATAAAGCGTTGTCTATCGCCAGCAACTCTACTCCATCCCGCTCTCTCAACGTCAGTCCTTGCGATGCCGTCGACAGCCATGTTGAGGGCGGCTGCGCGGAACCAGCTGTTCTCTCACTCCACCAACCCCTCCCCTCCCCCAGCTGGGGCCCCGCCCCTGGCCAGTCCCCTCCCACGCCTCCCTGCCTTCCACAGGGGCGCTCTACCAATTGTCCAGGAAGTCAAAGCCGGACTTGATTGGAACACCGCTGGTTCCAGGAGACTGCTGCAGGGCAAGGGGCGGATGGTGGGGGGAAAGAGTGAAGGAGAGAGACGTGGAGACACAAGCGTGACGTGAATCTGCACACAGTTAACAACAATAATTTCAACTTGTAACGCGCTGCACGGCATTCACTCTCTCTGGAAGAGAGAATGACTCAAGAGGCGTGATGAACCACAGATGAGTGGAAAAGGCAGCCGCGCAGTAGGCCAGCACCAGGAATTGCCCAAGCTCTGCAGTCTTCTATAGTATAAGGTGATTTCGGTCAATAAATTAGCGTTTTAAATGGTAGGGAAATGCACCAGAGGAAACCCATGGGTGCGAGGGGGCAACACTCAGATGCAAGAGATGGAGTCCACATTTTGCTGTACCACCTCCTCCTGGTAAACTATGATACGGCACCACGACAGCCCTGGAAAGGGCGTTTCACAACATTTGCGTGATCCGCCAACTCACACTTCCACGGTGCTGGATTACAGGCGTGTGCCGCTACCGACCCTAAGATGAGACCCAGGGGAGGTGGCCAGGTGGCTCGGAGGTCAGGGTGCTGATAATTTTTACGCACCTTCTAGATGCACATCATATCCACAAAAAGTATTGTCTTTTTTTAACCGTGTCTTCAAATGTCATCCACACCTTTTATTAATTCTCTCCCATGTGTTTGCAGGTTTTACCGCATGCTGTCTGACATGATGTCCGACGTTTCGCTCCGTGCAGGGAGCTTCTTCCAAAACGGAATACTCGTTTCCCGAAGAATCTCCCAGCACGTGGAGCGAAATGTTAAATATCACACCGAGACAACACGTGGCACAAGCTGGAAACACATCAAGAGCTGTACAGCAAAAACTGTAAAAACAGATGCAGAAATTTGTTTATCACACTATCCAATCGTTCATTCTGTCCATTCTATCTCTCTATCCAATCATTCACTCCATGGGTTACCTGGCTGTGCCCCACGGGGCTGGTGAACAGCTCGTCTTTGTCGGCGCTGGCCGGCAGCAGGGGCGTGGCGACGGTGATGGCGGAGGCGACGGGCGGCGGTGTTCGAGCGACGCTCGGTGCGGGCCTACTTGCCGCGGCTCGCTCCAGCATCCACGGCACCGCCGCCGGTGCCGCCGGAGGAGGAAATGATGATGATGACGGAGGAGATGATGATGATGACAACGGCGCAAATACCGATTCGTCTGGCTCCGACACGAACGCACTGCGTAGAGAGGGGTTGGGGGAGGGGTCACGGACAGAGCGCACGTCAGGTTCGGACAAAATATTACAGCGGCGTCGGCGGTGGTAATGGTGGTGATTGTGGTGATCGTGGCGGCAGTGCTGTCTCACCGATGCGCTGTGTCGGCCATCGAGCTGTAGGATGCGCCAGGCGAGGGCGGTGGGGGTTTTCGTGCTACAGGGGGCGGGTCCCCGGATCGGGAGGCCGCCGGCCCGGCCCTGGGGTCGTAGGAGCGGCTCGCCGAATCGTGCCTCCTGTATGGCGAGCTCAGCCTCTCCGCCGGGGTTAACGCTGCCCCAGATCCCGGTCCGGTTCCAGCCGTGGCAGCAGCCGCCCCTGCCGGCTTCCCCCTCTCCGCGGACAATTTCCACGGTGCAGCAGCCGGCCCCGCCGCCGTCTCGTCGGCGCCAGCTTCCTCCACTCTTCGCAGGACCCCCGGGAAGGGCCCCGTGTTCACTACGTGAGCCTCCCGGCCGCCGGCCTGGCCCTTGCCGGCCCTGCCGCCCGCCGGCGTGGCGGTACCGTTGGCCGTGGCAGCCGCCGATGTGGCGGCGCCAGCGTGGCCTAGGCTGGAGTCGGGACGGGGCTGGGAGCTGGATCCGGGCTCTAGGTCGCTGAGTGAGAACTCCAGCTGGCTCTGATGACCGCGTCAGTGGTGGCGGTAATGAGACTTTGTTAGTGATGTGGAGGGAATTTATTTTTAGCAACAATCCCACTTTTATTAACATTAGTTTCAGGATTCAACAACAAGGATTCGCGAAACTTTGAATGGCAGTAGGACACGAGCACAGATAACAAAAACTGAAGAGTGGTATGTGGCCTTACAAGGGGGGAAATCTAAAATCGGTTACAAATCAGCCAAGTGGCTTTTGTTCAAAGCAAGGTGGCTCAGAGAGCTGAGCTGGCACCATCTGAGATCTCGGGTTTGAATTCTGGTTTCAGCTGCCTGTAATTAAACTGGTTTCTCAAGGGTGGTAAGGTCCCAGCCTAGCCACCAATGTCTGCACGGCCTAGCCAGATGATGAACAAAGTGGCACAGTGATGGTGTTTTTGCTTGGATCACAGTCAAGGGGCAAAACTCACCTTGGTTTCCCAGGAAAATGGAGCGGAATGCTCATCCTGCCACTTGATGTCCTGGAATAAAATAGTCACGTTTACATGATCATAGAAATTCCATTATCATAGAAATCCACTATGCCACTTCAAGATATTATTATTCACAGCCATAACTTACATCAGGAATGACACCACAACTGTAACCTTAGCACCCACTCCAGCACCATCACATCACCCCATCACTCCCACGCTCATTACCACACCTACCTTCATCCTAATCGCATCGCCGGAATACACCTTATAATCGCCACTAACTTAACGTCACCCCCCCCCCCCATCGCACCAACCGCTCATCACCAACACTATGGCTACCAACATGACATCATCCCCCACACCCATCACAGACAACGTGCCATCACCACCAAAGACAAGGTTAGCCTTTAAATAGACCACCGCAGGACTAACGTGAAAGACGAAATATGCGAACACGGAGGAAAGCCAAGGCCACGTAAGACCACGGTTACCCCAGGTTAAACGAACGCCGATCGTCTTTTCCTCGTTACTGCAGTTGCAGTCTTGACGCCACACCGCCAACAAGACTACCATCGCCCCCATCACCTTTAACAACAACAACCACCACCACCACTGCAAACGCCGTTCGCTACGGCACTGCGGTGATGTCACCAGACTTGGGTGCACCTTGAGGCCATCACCTGAAGTGTGGTCGGTCGGCTCGCTGCCGGCAGGACACGGGGCAGACACCCAGACGTTATGGATTCACTGCCTGGATGTAGAACTTAATTCGCACTGCACATAGCCTGAGGCGATTGTCATTCCAATCATCACCACCAACCACCATCATCATAACACGCCCGTCTCTTCCCACAACGACTCACATCTTCCCCAAAGTGCACCGTCTTCTGGCCGGGCTGTATCAGCAGCTTGGGGTAACACGAAGCCAGCGCCGTTGGCGACGAAGACGATGGCGACGCGGGCCGAGCGCCGAGGAGGTGCAGCCGCGTCTCGTACCGCGCCCGGGCCTCGGCTCTGATGAGGGCCGCGTCGATCGCCGCCTCCCGCTGGGCCTCGGCAAGCCGCTCCCACGCGGGGCCGTGGCTCTCCCGCACCTTCTCGATCTCCGCCACGATCTTGCGCGCCATGGGGTTCAGCGACGCGAAATAGACGGCCGCCTTCTCCTCCATGGCGGCTGTCGGTTCGAGGGTTGGTGGAGGAGGGCGGAGGGAGGCGGCGGCGGCGGTGGTTGGGGTTGTCGATAAAGTTGTTTTGATACGAAGGAGACGGTGGTGGCTGGGGTTGTCGATAAAGTTGTTTTGATACGAAGGAGGCGGTGGTGGCTGGGGTTGTCGATAAAGTTGTTTCGTTAAGAAAGAGACGGTGGTGGTGGCTGGGGTTGTCGATAAAGTTGTTTAGATTCGAAGGAGACGGTGGTGGCTGGGGTTGTCGATAAAGTTGTTTTGATACGAAGGAGACGGTGGTGGCTGGGGTTGTCGATAAAGTTGTTTCGTTAAGAAAGAGACGGTGGTGGTGGCTGGGGTTGTCGATAAAGTTGTTTAGATTCGAGAGAGACGGTGGTGGTGGTTGGGGTTGTCGATAAAGTTGTTTTGTTACGAGAGAGACGGTGGTAGTGGCTGGGGTTGTCGATAAAGTTTCGATTCGAGAGAGACGGTGGTGGTGGCTGGGGTTGTCGATAAAGTTGTTTCGATACGGACAATGTTAGAACGAGGCCACGTGACTGCCCCCTATTCAGCCTTCAAGTTGCCCGCGTGATGTCAATAATTCAATGGTAACGTGCGATTTCGTGGAGGGACTGTATGGTGTCATCTCGTTGTGGTCTGCAACTGATATTTTTTTATGGTTTTCTGCCTTGCCCAAGCTTGCATTCTATCTGTAGTGTTGACAAATCGGCAGGATTTAACGTACTTATGCAATTTTGCACTCCTATGCTTTATTGACATTAAAAACTAAAACGTGACTTGCTTAACCCCACTGTTTTGCAATATTGTCGAGTTATTGTTATATTGTTGTAAAACTTGACCGGCCCCTAGTGGAACGTGTGAAAAAGAGCTTCGTTAATATTTTCAAGGATCGTATCCCTGGTTCATATGAAATCAAGTCGTAACTTTATCAATAACCACACTCACAAGTCGACGATGGTTATCGACGCGAATATTAGATTGCAATTCATTGGAATTGATAGCTCGCGATGGGATTCGTCGATTAGCAGCGCGTGTCGATGCCGGCTATGACGTGACGCGCCTTAGGGCACGTGACGACCTTCGTCGACGCAATTCATTTACGGCACGCGGGCCACCCCTCCCCTCACGAGCGAGTCGCAAAACGTCGTAAATTCAAAGCGCCCCCCCCCCCGCATTGTCCCTTACGGCAATTTGGCGGGCGGGGCCGGATTAGGAAAGGGGGGGGTGTGTGGACTGGAGGGGCGGGGTTCCGGTAGAGGGGCGGGGCTGGTGATGTGGGGTGGGGGGTGCTTGCCTCACCCACCACAGAACCCCCCCCCTTCCCCAAACCGCCTCTCAACAAAACCTTAACACGCATCGGCATGCGCTTGTGGCCCATTGGCCAACCGCGGCGCGCGCCGCTCGAAGCCGCGCGCTCATTGGCCGCACGCCGTCGTCGGTCCCGACCGATGGCGAGGCTCGTTGCGGCCCGCGGTGCTTATCCGCTGTGGGGATTATAAACGCGAGGCTCTCCGCGCTCGGGCGGGAGGCGGCGGCTGCTGCTGTCGCCGCCCTGGGCCGAGGTACCCTCTGGTGCACAACTCTCTTGCTCGTCGCCGCCGCCGCCTCGGTCAATCAACGATTGGCTCGTAGCGTTTCGCGTGGACTCATCAGCGCGGTAACGATTGTAGTTGGCGACAGCGGTCGGTCGTAACTGGAAGGCCGCGGAGGAGGGTGTCCGGTGTGCGAGACGGCGCGGCCAGGCCGCGATGGAGGAGCCGAGGCGCTCGGGCCCAGCGGACCCGGGACACCCGCTGGCCCCGCTGTCCCCGTCGCTCTCCTCGCTGCCCCCGTGCTGCTCGCCCTACGCCGCTGCCCCCTGCTGCGCCGTCGCAGCAACCGCCGCGTGTCCGTGCTGCTGCGCGGATGGCGGCTGCGGGACCTTGGTCGCCTTTGCGGGGAATGGAGAAAGTGGCGGTGGTTGCTGTGATGGTGGTGGTGGTAATGGTGGGTGTTGTGATGGTGAAGATGGTGGTGGTGGTAGAGTTGATGGTGTAGGAGATGGTGGTGATAGTTGTGAAGATGGTGGTGGCGATGGTTGTGACGTCAATGATGGTGGAGTGCTCAGGAGTGGTGCTGGCTGTTGTGATGGTAGTGATGGTGGTGGTGGTAGAAGTGGCGGTTGTTGTGATGTCATTGATGGCGATGGTAGCGCGGTCAGAAGCGGTGGCTGTTGCGATGTCGGTGACGGTGGTGAATGTCGAGTGGTCAGAAGCGGTGGTGAGAGCGGTGGAAGTTGCTGTGGTGTTGGTGGCGATGACAATGATGTCATCACCGCCCGTGGGGATGGCCGACGGTACCGCCTCCAGCAGCAGCATCACCACCATCAGCAGCAGCAGCACCACAACCATCAACAGCACAAGCGTCGCGGCCTGAACGGCTGCGTACCAGGGGCGGACAGCTGGCACAAGGGCGACGAGGCCTGCGTAACCGGGCCAGCCATGTGCGCGCATGGCGACCCGAGGGAAAACCACCACCATGCCGGCTATAACCACGACCACGAGAATCATGTTGACGACGACAACGGTGGCGGTGTTGGTGGGGCGAGGACTGAGCGGGCCGGGTCTCTGGAGATGCGGCTGACGCGATGTAGCCTGGGCGAGGAGCGGCCAGATCCGCAGGGAGTCCGCTACATCAGCTACAAGTGCGAGCTTCAAATGCCCGACATCATGAGGCTCATCACGAAGGACCTTTCCGAGCCCTACTCCATCTACACCTACAGATACTTCATCCACAACTGGCCGCAGCTGTGCTTCTTGGTGGGTTTTGTTGTGCCCCTTGTCTCGTAGAGGAGTAAAGAGTGAGTCTACGAACGTGATTGTCGACCCGCGAACTCGCTTCGAAAAGGCTAACACTGCTCTCCTTGCAGATGCGGGACATGAACTTGTAACTTCGGGAACCACTGTCACTAACCCCCCCCCCCCCCCCCGACGTTTCACTTGAAGCCAAAACCATAACGGCTAATACTAACCCCTTAACCAACCCTCTTAATTCCTCAAACCTAAACCCTAAATACAAGCCATAAGCAATAATTTCTAAACGAATTTTAACCTCACCTCCAACCATAACATCTGACCATCTGTAACCTTAACCACTAAATCGTAACTCCTTAAAACGATACAAAAACTTAAAAGTGATGTCCCTTAATAGTTAATTATTAAGTGAAACGAATAGAAGGGCTGTTGTGATTTGGACGAAAATCTGGTTCGTGGACAGGAATCTGTATTGACGGTCACTTCTCACGAATTGGGCACGGGGGAGTTCCCCCCCCACCCCAATTGGCTGGGCGTGGTTGTTGCACAAGTGTGATTCAATACTTTATGGCAAGGGTTGGTGGATCACGCAGATGTGTGTGAAACTCCCAAACCCAGTGCTGGGCTTAACAGGTGGCCATGAGATGGCTGGGTGGGGCTGGATGGGGAGGGGCTGGTCACTCCGTGGTGCCCTTATAAAACTCAATGTTTAACCTACTCACGCCGGCTTGTGCCCGCCCTCACAGTCGGGCATATTTGCAGAATACACCACGTGGTGCCGCCGTTGACCCTGGCCATTGACTGAGCAACCCAACGTTCCTACCAGCTCCCTCCGCAGGAATGTGTTTAACCTGTATAAATAGTGGAGTTTTTTAAGGGTTGCTTTCGCCTGTGCGTGTGGTGGGTTTTCTCCAGGCATTCTGGTTTCCTCCCACATGTAAAATGTGTACGAATGAAATTGGCCAAACACCTACTACAGGACCCTCTTTAAAATGAAGCTCAATATTCATTGACATTAGTACCCTTTTTATTTCATGGGTAATTAAGAATATTATTGCAAAAATGTATAGTCTTAAGGATTAGTTAGGCTATCATTTTGTCATACATGACGATATTAAACACAAAACACCAAAAATAGAACTCTCACATTCAGCCTTATATGCTGATGAGGGGGAATTGACGTTGGTGAGGGGAAATTGACGTTGGTGAGCACCAATTAAGGTGGGCACACCACACTGTTAGTCTGTGATGTGGCCCAGCCACCTTTTTTCTTCCCTGTGCAGTCCCACATATCAGCAGGTACTTCACCATGCTAGTCGGTGCAGTGTGGTGAAGGCTGGGGATCGAGACCGGTTTAGATCTCACTTGGGAAGCATGTTTTTCGTGAGCAGCACTCGAACATGTACACGACACAAAGACAGAGATCCCCCATATAGAGCGGTGGTGTGGTGGTTAGCGCGCTGCGCTATGAACCCGGATAGCTAGATTCGATGCCCGCTCACGGCCAACACCGGTAACGATTGTCTGAACCGCTCCTGGGCCTCGTCCTCAGTCGACTCGGCCTCAAATGAGTACCTGGTGCGGTGTGTAAACGTCGCCACTGGGGAGACAAAGGCGGCCGGGCGTGGCGTTGGCCACCCCCTCGTGTACCGTTTTGGCCTTCATAGGTTCTTGCTAACAGCACTTGCCCCTACAGTACATGAGACAAACCACTGCACCACACGCAACTTCCTTTACACTATTCAGTGGAAAGGCGACATTTATTTTTCCTTTTCAGTTGAGACTGATACAGATCAAGCTGTCATCGTGGCCAAAGCCGTTGATGTCATCACACCCATGCCAACGCTTTACAAACAAGGGTGAAGCGATGGCGAGCTCTTTTATTGACGGCCCTTAGCCACTGGTGAAAATTCCACATTGTCATGTCAGGAGTGAGTTAATCCATTGGACAACCAGAAGAGTTGATTTACCACCAGGCCGGTACTGTGTTTGCACACATTACCAGGTAACTATTTCAATTCGAGTTGACCTAGGGGAGGTCCAGAGCCAGCTTGCGTACCACTCTCCGCAAATGTTGTCCGTGACTAGGCTTTGAACTCGGGTGGCCAGATTTGACCACGGTTTAAACTCGCAATCTTCCGGCTGTGGATGTGGAGCTGTAACCGCAGGCCTGAGTGTGTGTGTTTGAAAAGTGCTCTGCTTTAAATATTTATGTAATTTGTCCAGGAGTGGTTTCCAGAGTCTCGAGACCCGTTATTAGGGAGGATCCATGTTGGGATACCTGGCCAATTTGGTTTTTATTTATATATAAATACTAACCGATTAACTAACTCTCAGCTATTTATGTAGTAGGCTTAATTAAGGAATAGTCTGTAAAGCTTACAGTGCATAAACGTCATAGCCCCGTGCTATAGATTGGCGTGAATAACAAATTTACTTCCGGATGTTCACTGAAGCACAACACCATTTTTTAAAAATTTTGTGTTTTGACTGACAATTCCGTCTTACATCGTGTCCCAGTAACCTCTAATGTTTCAAGGTCAATATCTAACACATAATGGGTTATGAATGGGTTATGAATCCAGGTCCCATATCACAAAAGCCTAAAACCTTCACGAGGGTTGTGGTCGCAGCTGAGGAAATGCGAGTATCTGGTTCGGTTTTATTTCACCTTCTAACAACGCATTTTGGAGAACAAGACGACCAATCGAAATAGGCAGGGCTTAGTTTCTTGCTCTTTTCTGGGTCCTTGTGTAGACTGGAAGTAGGGTGGCAAGTAACAATTATCCACAGCCCATAGTCCTGACAGTAACAAGTTAACTATTTCTCTCTTATACATATGGGCGGAAACTTGTGCTAAAGAAAGCCCATGCATTCCTTGTGATCGCCTTCAAACGCCACGCATAGAGTTCGGCAAGGCTCCTTGCTGTACTTTCATAATTGTTAGCTCGTACATCCGTGGGTCTCTGTGTGATCCACTAACCCGGGCCTAGGCGTGGCCTTGCCACACCCTGAACCCGGTTGCACGGCCTGGGGCCTAAGCAGTTGGAACCGCTCAAGTTGGCTCTCTAATGTGGCTGCGGTTCAAATAAAATATTTTTATGTTCCAAATTAAAAATTGGTTGTGTGCCAAGTGTAGAGTTTAATCCACAATTGACAGTTACGTTTAAGGCATTGATTTGAGACTACACGGCCTTCGTAAAAAATTGCGACAGTACTTTGCCTTCCAGCGGTCTTGCACCGCACTGAAAGAGGATC